CACATTGGGCAAGGCCTGGAAAGTTCCAAGGACAGGAGCTTCTGTCCCAGTGGAGTTGGGGTGTGCCGCCTCCCAGCACACCAACCTGGAAGCCCTGTGGTTCACAGATCATCATGGAGGCTTCATCACAAAGGCATAATCAATGGTTAATTCACTCAGCAGCCCCTCTCCAAGCTTCTCTTTTTAAAAAATTAATTTATTTGGCTGCATTTGGGTGTCAGTTGTGGCAGGCGAACTCTTAGCTGTAGCATGTGGGATCTAGTTCCTTGACCAGGGATCGAACCTGGGCTTCCTGTATTGGGGAGTGCAGAGTCTTAGCCACTGGGAGAAGTTCCATCCAAGTTTCTAATCATGGCCCGGTCTTCCTGGTGACCAGATGCCATGCTGAAGCTATCCAGGACTCCACCCAGAGTCACCTCATTAGAGCAAAAGAATCTGCTACTGCCCAGGAAACATCAAGGGATTTAGGAGCTCTGTGTCAGGAACCCATGGTAAAGACCAAATGTATATTTCTTATTAGGTCACAGTTACACATGTGTGGGGAAAAGTTGGAATGGGCTGTTAGAGCAGTTTTTTGGGGGAAAGAAAGGGTTTACAGATTTTTGTTTAACTTCTCTGTATTTTAGAATTAAAAAAAAAATCTTTTGGCCACACCACATGGCGTATGGGATCTTAGTTTCCTGACCAGGAATCGAACATGTGCCCCCTGCACTGGCAGTGTGGAGTCTTAACCACTGGACCACCACAGAAGTCCTGCATTTTGTGATTTTTTTGTTAAAATTATCACGTTTAGTTATGTAATTCAAATGTACTAAATATTACTTCCCAGGTGGCACTCATGGTGAAGAATCCCCCTGCCAATGCAGGAGACACAAGAGAAGTGGGTTCGATCCCTGGGTCAGGAAGATCCCCTGGAATTGGAAATGGCACCCCACTCCAGTATTCTTGCCTGGAAAATTCCATGGACAGAGGAGCCTGGTGAGCTACAGTCCATGGGGTCATACAGAGTTGGGCACGACTGAACAACTGAGCACAGAAAAAATCAACATGAAGCCTTTACCTGTGATCCAGCCAGGGCCAACTGTTGGCAAGGTCAGGAGGCCTTCCAGACAGAGCAGAACCTGCCCCCACCCCAGTTTCACAAGCTGAGCTCTGCCTGGACACCCTTGTCCTGTGGTCGCCCCCACGCCCTCCATATTCACACCCACCATCACCTCTTGTGGGTAAGGCCCTCCCCTTCCCAATCCTGGGTACCCACACACCGAAGCCTGAGAGTCTGCCTGTCTATCTCTAAAGAGGGGAACTCCTTAGGGCACGCACCCTGCTAGACCTATCACCCTAGAGCCTGGCATAGAGAAAAAGAGTATTTGGTAAGTGAATGAATGAAGGTGGAACTAATCCTAGAGAAGCGGATTTCCTAAGGCCTTTCTCCAGCAGGTGCAACCAGTTCCCCTTTCAGCCGTCTCCTGGGCAGAGAACCTGGTGTGAGGAGTAGGGGGTGCAAAGCCCAGTGTTTCTGAGGTCAGGAGGAGGAGACTGGATGGACACGGGGCTTGTGTGGGACTTGGAGAGGGAGCGCGGAGCTGCTGTGGGGCTGCAAGGGAGTGGGCAGCCTCAGTGTGGGGGGCGCTCTGGCCCACAGCGGCGGCTGTGTGCAGGATGGGAGGCCCGGCTGAGGGTGATGGTGCAGAGAGACGGGTGCGACTGGCCCCCGATCCAGCCCGAGCCACTGACCCTGGGCCTGCACCCCTAGCCCCTCAGACCATCTCAGAGATACACTCACCTTCAATGCGGGGCTGCACGAGAGTGGCAGGTGAGAGAGAAAGGCAAGGTGAGCCTCGGCGTTAGAAGTCAAAGAATCACCTCATAGACAGAGACTGGACAGGACTCCCATGATGATCTGTGGGGCAAAAGGCGGGGGTCTTCAACTAGCCAGAGTTTCAGAGTTCTGGCCAGGACCGTCCCCTACTTGCTCAGGAACGTGGGCTGACCCTCCCTCTGCTGACCTGGGGCTTTCTCTCAGGCAGACAGATGAGATCCACGCTTGCCTGCTTGCCTCCACCTCCTTATGAAGCCTTCTGCTCTCCACCTGTGGGGTGTGTGGGGCTGGGATGAGCAGGTGCTCACCTGTGGGCCTCTGACTCCACTGCCCCAGGTGGGTCTGGAGAGCCTGGTCTATACGCAATGTTCCAGCACCCTCCCCTAGCCACCTGGCCATCTTGTCTTTGTTACTGGGGACTATCTCACGCCCTGCAGGCTGTTTAGTGGTGTTCCTGCCCTCTCTCCTCTGGATGCCAGCATTCTATAGTTATGACAACTAAAAATATCTCCAGACATTATCAAATATCCCCTCGGAAGGCAAAATCATCCCCAGTTGAGAAGCCCAGGCCATAGCACCTCTAGGATAATGTTGGGTCATAATGAGAGTGCATTACTGCTCCTGACTTTAAGGGAAATACATCTAGTATTAAAATATAGTATCTGTATACTCCTGTCCAGGGCTAGTATACTAGTATACTGTATCAAAGTTTAATTTGCAAAAAAGTGAAAAACAAGACTTTCATACAAGTGGAGGAAAGCATGTCAAATATTTAATTAATGAGGGAACAGTAAGATGGTAAAGCTAATTCAAAGAACTTTTAAAAAAATCTTTTGGCCATGCGGCACGTGGGACTTTAGTTCCCAACCGGGGATCCAATCCATGCCCCCTGCATTGGCAGCACAGAGTCTTAAACATTGGATCACTGGGAAAGTCCCCAAGGAACATTTTGAGAAGTTTTGTTTTTTTTTTAATTGAAGGATAATTACTTTACAGAATTTTGTTGGTTCCTGCCATACATCAACATGAATCAGCCATAGGGATACATATTTCCCCTCCCTCTGAACCTCCTTCCCATCTCTCTCCCCACCCTACCCCTCTTGGTTGATACAGAGTCCCTGTCTGAGTTTCCCGAGTCATACAGAAAATTCCCATTGGCTGATTTATTTTACATACGGTAATGTAAGTTTCCATGTTATTCTGTCCATACATCTCACCCTCTCCTTCCTCCCCCACCCTCGTGTCTGTTTTCTATGTCTGTGTTGAGAAATATTTCTAGTGCACAAGCAAAGGCATTTCAAAGTGTGTGCTGAGAGACAAAAACCTGATAATTACATATGGGGCAATGAAATTGTAATCTTTCGGGTTATATTTTCTAATAGACAGAAAATTATGAGTTAACATATAATTTCTCAGATACATTTTCCTACATTAGTGGCTTTCAAAGTATAGTCCCCAAACTGGATTTCTCAGCAGACCAGGGAATCTGTTGGAAATGCAAATTTTCAGGTCTCATTCCAGAGCTAATTAATTACAGAAGTGGAGCCTAGTACTGTTGTAACAAACCCAGCAGGTGATTCTTAAACACTCTAGAAGTTTGATAACTACTGGTCTAAATAGTCAAATAATCTTTATTTGTGAAACAAATCTGTGAGACAATGCTCCAGTACGACATTAAAAGGACATGCCACCTGCCTTTTGCCTTATTTCCAAATTTAAATAAATTGTCTGTTTGATGTTTGCTGTTTTGTCTTTCAAATACCCTATCAAGTTAGGGCAGTTTTCACCTATTTATAACTTTTTTCTTTTTTAAAATAATGATTTACTAAATGCATCAATTCATTTCTTCTTTTGGAACTATTCTTGTCCTCTTTAGAGAAAAAAATTTTGATATGGTATATTGCATCACTATTGATTTCATTGTACTGATATTGATGATTTTTTTAAAAGATCTTTTTAAGTGTGATCAATTTTAGCAAAAATTAACTTTATATTTATGGAGTGGTTTAATTGTCATGGGCTCTATCTGTCCTTTGAAAGCTTGAAAGTCTGCAACAATAAAACAATCAGGGTCTACTGTATAGGTGAGAGGCATGGAACTAAAGAGAGAAATCAAACGGTTCAATTTCTTTTTTGGTCATTAGTTTATACTCTAGTGTATTTTTGTTGTTGCTATCTTTTGTTTGTTTTTATCTATTTAAGCGAATACTGGAAACTTAGTTTTCCTGGCCTATTCATTACTTCAAGCTCACCAGTAAGCAGACTAATACAATTTAAAGCAACCTTTTTCTCTCCCACTAGATTGAGAAAAATTAAGATAAACAGCTGATGTTGGTGAAGTTGCAAAGGCATTCTGAGCATGTCAACTGTTACAGGCTTTTTGCTATGCAATTAAAGGGATTCGTCAAAATGGAATAAAACACCCAGGCACTACCAGGCACCTGAAGGCGGTATCTGGGGTACTGGTAATGTTTCCCTATTTGGGTGTTGGTTACACGGGGCATACGGTTTATGAAAATTCATTAAGCTCTGTATTTGTACTATGTACAATTTCCTGTATGGGCATTCTATTTCAATAACGTTTTAAAAATTTATCTGTTGCCACAACCCACACCTGCTAGAGCTTCCCTGGTGGCTCAGAGGTTAAAGCGTCTGCCTCCAATGCAGGAGACCCAGGTTCGATCCCTGGCTTGGGAAGATCCCCTGGAGAAGGAAATGGTAACCCACTCCAATCACTCCAGTATTCTTGCCTGGAGAATCCCATTGACGGAGAAGCCTGGTAGGCTACAGTCCACGGGGTCGCGAAGAGCCAAACACGACTGAGCGACTTCACTTCACACCTGTATAGTAAGGGAGCTGTACTGATGCAAAACACGGAAACGACCTGAATACCACTGCAGAAAGGAAGGCCTCCCCTGCCTTAAAGAGAACAAATTAAAAGGCTTCCACTCCCTCTTCCTGCTGCTTTGGTTCTGCTTCCAGTTAACCTGGGGGTTGGCGCTGGTCCTTTCCGGAGAAAGGTTCTGGGGACTGACAAAGGGACCCCGTGTCTTGCTCCAGCAACTCGGGGCTGGGCGACTCGTGATCCGAGGAAGCCCCGCCCCAGCGTCACGTGACCGCTGCATCAGCTGACCCGGCGCGACAGGAAGGTGAAAGTCCTGGGCGCGGGCTTCCTGGAGCAATGGTGAGGGGTGAGGGTTGATACGAGGCTGTGGTTGCTGGGGGCGGGCACGGTAGGAACCCCCAAATCCGCCCCCCCGCTGCTGCGGGAATGATGGGGCCCTGGATGCGAGGAGATGGGGAATCTGCCTGGGCCGCGGAGCAGACACTTGGGTGCGGTCCTTAAAGCCGGGGGTCTGGTAAAGAAAAGCCTCCCTCCGTCCTCCTCCAGCAGGGCGGGACGGCAGGCTTGGAGTGTCTTGACTGGAAGGAAGGGCCCAAACTCCCAGGGGCAGGAGCTGGGGCTTGTCTCTCCGGGCCTTTCTCTGCCCGAGTGGGACGTCCCGAAGGCGCCCACCTCCCAGCCTTCCTGTGGAACTTGGAGAAACACTTCCTGACAATTTGGCTCAATCTTCTGCACTGTTAGGAAATCCCTTTGCTCTTCCCAGAGGCACAAAGGAGTATATACGGGCTGGAAACTTTTCAACTTATCCATTCATTGATTCCTTTAACAGATTGTGAGTGCCTGCTGTATATCAGGCACTGTGCCAGGCATTAGGACTTGGGCTGTAAGGGCAGAGCTGGAGGCTTGAATGGGCAGTCATAATTAAGACCTGAGCCGGGAGGGATTAAACTCACCTTGTGTATAATGCCTGAAGGCTTCCCAAGGATGACATCACCTGAGGGCCTGGGAGCCGGGAAGAAAGCTTGCTGGGGCAGAAAGAAAGCAGCTAGTGTACCAAGAATTGGGAGGCATGGAAGAGGGCTGGTGGGAGGCTGTATCTTCAGATAAGGGACAGCATTCAAAGACTTAAGGTGAGTGAGAGCTCGGAACCCTAGGAATGAATACATCTCATCACCTGGAAGAGTAGAAACTAGAGGCTAGTGAACGACTGATAAGCAAAGACTACAGCTTGCTGGGTCTTCAGAGGAGTTTGGACTTTTAAGAAAGGACGGCAGGGAAAGGAGGAAGAGCCTGGGGCAGCAGACACTCCCCCACCCAGGAGATGGTAGTGACTTGAGAGAGCGTGGAGATAGAAGTGGAGGAGATCAGCGGGGCTCAGAGGCTAAATGCATGAGGGAGAAGGGGGAGGGAGGGAGCTGGGCTTGGTTCCCAGGTGCTGGTGCTCAGTGGTGGCGGGACAGGTGGGGGCAGGTTTCAGAGGGAAGAGAACCAGTCACTGTGATACATGCTGAGTGAGGCCTCTAAGCCGCCAAGTGCACCTGGGTAGGAGACAGACTGGATTTAAGGGTATGGAGCTCAGAAGAGAATCTACAATACGATGGCGGTTATAAATTTGGGAGTCATCTGCAGAAAGATGATCTGTCTCAGCCACAGTGTGAGTTCAGAAGAGAGGGCCTAGGACAGAACCTAGAGAAATGCCGGTATTTTAAGAAGTTACACAAGGCGTCTACGGCCATACCACTCTGAACTTGCCTGATCTCGTCTGATCTTGGAAGCTAAGCAGGGTTGGACCTGGTTAGTACTTGGATGGGAGAAGTTACACAAAGAACACATTCTTATGGTAGAAATGTAAATAATACAGAGATGGTAGAAGTCAGAGAAAGTCCAGAGATGATAAAATAGTCCAATGGGTAGAAGTCAGGGGCCCATGAACTTAGGAAAAATACTATATCTCAACTTTCACTAACTTCAAACTGAAATTTAATATTTCCTCCAGTTATGATTGTTGGCAACAGACCTCAGTATTATTAGCAGCACCTCTGACTTTGTCACTAATGGAAATCAGATATTTTCATGTCACAGCTGTTGGGATTATTTACATATTTATGCTCATTTCCAAATTACTGTCATCACTTGAATTGAAACATATGTCACATCACCAATTGGTTTTGAATATTTTGATAACTTTTTTTTCCCTGCCACACCATGTGGCTTGAGGGATCTCTGTTGCCCGATCAGGGACTGAACCGAGGGTCACAGCAGTGAAAGCCCAGGATCCTAACCACTAGGCCACCAGGGAACTACCTATTTTGATAACTTTTAATTAGTGTCTTTTACTACGTAGTTTTTCCTGTGTACTTTATTCATTTGAAAACATTGTTTTGAGAGAGGCTTGTAGACTTCACGAGATGCCTGATGAGTCCTTGCCACAAAACAATTAAAAATCCCTGAAGTGGGGAAAGAAGCCCCAGACTTTGCTTAACACCCCACCACCTCACCAGCGGTCCCAGTGCCTTGCCTCAGAGTAATGACAGCAGGCAGTCTGCAGAGATCACCATTTGGGGGCTGCGGTTCAGGAGGGGTGGGCCAGCAAATGAGACAGAGGCCAGGCCAGAGGGAGAAATCCAGAAGAGTGTGTGGCTTCAGGAAGAAGGATGGGTTTGTGTCTCCTGTTGTGGATGAACTAAGGAAGAGGAAGACTAGGTTTAGTGACAAAAGTCATTTGTGACCATGGCTAGAGGACTTCACTGGGGTCACGTGTGATCAAGGGGGTGGCAGGCCAGAAAGGTTTGGAGGTGGAAGGGTCATGGAGCAGGTCTGAAGTGACTGATAAGGTGAACAGTGGGGCAAAGTAGAAGACATGGAGTTAATGGGGCTGCCTTGAGGGCCCGACAGAATCAGGAGAACGTGGATTCACGGTGTCTCCAGTTGGCGGGTTTTGTTCCCAATATCTGAAAGCAATGCAGGTGGAGGTGTGGAGAGATGAACATGTACATTGCGTGCATTAGAGCTTTGCTGCAGAAACAGGACAAAGGACAGTGGATCAGGTGGGTGGAGGATATTATCAATATGTGGTTGACTGGGTGGGTTTGCATTCTAACAGAAGACATCTTGAATATATTGTGATATGTGGTGTGATAAATGCTGTGGAGATCAAAAAGGAAGAGAAGGAGCTAGAACATGATGGTGAAGAACTGTTTAAACGGCTTCTCTGAGATAAAATTAACATAAATCATACATGTGTAAATGTATGGTTCAATAAGTTTTGATGTGTGTGCTCACGAAAACATTATCACGATCAAGATAATGAACACATTTGCTGACCTTCCCAAATTACCTTGTGTGAAGGGCTATTTAAGGAAGCAAATAGTCAGAGAAAGCCCATCAGAAGAGGTGTCATTTGGGCAGAGACCTGAGTGAAATGAGAGAGCAAGCCACGTTTAATTTGCAGCAGAAGCAACAGGGAGGCCAGTGTGGCTGGATCTGGAGAGGGAAAGAAGAGGAGGTGAGAGGGTCATGCGTTCCGTGTGGCACCCCCAGCGCTTACAGTGGGTTCTCCCACAGAGCAGGCACCCAGGCTTGTCCGCAGAGCAGGTGAATGCCTGGGACACGCATCAAAACAAGGTTTGGTGGCGGGAAGAATCAGGGAGAGTGTTCTCTAAACAGCCTGGTAGTAGGGGAGAACAAGTGGCCAGAGCTTGTCCATCTTGGACAGGGAGCAGGAAGCTGGAGGAGCAGTAGCTCAGGAGACACCTGGGCATGTGTCGCCCTGCCCTCCAGCCTGACCACCTACCTCACTCTCTTGCAGAGGTTCCGATTCTGTGGTGACCTGGACTGTCCTGACTGGGTCCTGGCAGAGATCAGCACGCTGGCCAAGATTGTTGAGTGCAGGGGATCTTGGGGGTGGGGGCAGGGAGGGATTGCAGCTGGGGGCTCTTGCGGGGGGCATGGAGGGTGGTGAGGTCACTCTTGAGTTGGGACCTCAGCCCTCTTGGGCCATTCTCACATGCTGTGTGACTGATCATGCAGCCAGCCCCTTCTGAGCCAGGCCGTCAGCATGCCTGTGTAAGGTGGGTCGGTCTGGCTGATACAAGGCTTCCCCCTCCAGTCCTCTGTGAAGCTGAGGCTGCTGTGTGGCCAGGTGCTGAAGGACCTTCTGGGAGACGGGCTTGACGTGAGTACAGGCCCCTGCCCCCGCCCCCCGTGGTCCCATGACCTGGGGACCCCACTGCCCTGAAAGTGCACCAGACCGAGGGGGGTGGGTGATCAGCTCCCACCCTCCCTGGACATCTCATGCCCTTACCACTGGGTCCAGGCCAGGGGGCTGGTGAGCAGGGGACCAGCCCCGCCCTGAGGGCCTCCTTTCTTCACAGTACGAGAAGATCCTGAAGCTCACTGCGGACGCCAGGTTTGGTGAGCACCCCACTGGCTCCACAGACCTTTGGGTGACCCTGGGTACTTGGCCTGGGGCCTGGCACAGAGGCCCCTCCTCCCGGCCCACTCTGACCCACTGGCCTCAGCGGAGGAGATGAAGGAAAGCCACTGCCACCCCAGGGCCTCCACCAGCTCCCAGTGGCGCAGTGGCAGTGCTCGTGGCTTTAGGAGGCCTGGGGACTCTGAGCTGAAGATAGTGGGGCCACAAGGAGGTATTTGGGGCAGCAGTGACACCCCCACTCCACCCACGGCTCCCTCCAGAGTCGGGCGATGTGAAGGCCACAGTGGCGGTGCTGAGTTTCATCCTCTCCAGTGCGGCCAAGCACAGCGTGGATGGCGAGTCCTTGTCCAGCGAACTGCAGCAGCTGGGGCTGCCCAAAGGTATGGGGACAACCTACAGGTGGGTGACCTCTGGGCTGAGGGGTGCTGGGCAGAGGTCAGGCTATGTGACCCTGGGACGCACCTTGCCTTCTCTGGGCCAGGAGCCTGAGACCTGCGCTCTGAGCCACCTAAGCCCGAGCCCCCACCTGCTAGCTCAGGGGACCTCCTTTCGTCCCCAGAGCACGCGGCCAGCCTCTGTCGCTGCTACGAGGAGAAGCAGAGCCCCCTGCAGGAGCGCCTGCGGGTCTGCAGCTTGCGGGGTGAGTGCAGGGTGGGCCTGGGTTGGGGCTGGGCTCCATTCTGGAAGGTGCCTGTGGCTTGGAAGGTGTTTGTCCTCAGAAAGGATACTTAACTGCATCACGTCAAGTAGTCCCAGGGCTGGGATTCCTGGCTCCAGCCAGGTTTCTCTCCTCTGAGACCTGCTCTGGGTAATCTCTGAGTTCCTGGGTCAGAGGGATGAGAGCCTCTCAAAGGCCACAGAGCCCTGGAGGGTTCAGGGCTGAGCCAGGGTGAGGGCTTGGGTCGCCTGGCTCCCTGGCCTGTGACCTCAAGTCCCTCTTGGTCTCGCAGTGAACAGGCTGGTCAGCGTGGGCTGGCGGGTGGACTACACCCTGAGCTCTAGCCTGCTGCGTGCTGTGGAGGAGCCTTTGGTACACCTGCGGCTGGAGGTTGCAGCTTCCCCAGGTGCCCCGACCCAGCCTGTCACCATGTCCCTCTCAGCAGACAAGTTCCAGGTCCTCCTGGCAGGTGAGGCTCAGCTGTATCAGGAGGGTAAGGGGCGCCCTGAGATCCCGCCTAACTGCCGCCTGCCTGCTTGCCTCTCCCCCCTGCAGAGTTGAAGCAGGCCCAGGCCCTGATGAACAACCTGGGCTGAGAAGAAAAGCACAGGGCCCCATGTGGAGCTGCCCTTGAACTTCTCATTAGGGGGTGGCCCCAGCTCCAGGACCCTGAGGGCCTGGTCTCCTGGATCTCTGGCTTCCTAGGTTACTGCCTGGGATCCTGAGAACACTTCCAGCATCGCCTTCCCTCCCCCGTGAAAGGCACTTATCAATAGTTTTCCTGAGAAGGAACAATAAACAGAAATGTGAAAAGTGTAAAGCAGTGTGTGCATGATTTCTTTAGGGTTCAGATCAGAGGTTTTCGTGACAGAGACAGTGGTACACTGACCTATGGTACATTTTCTTTTCTCAGCTGCTGACTGAGGCAGGTCAGGGGTGAGGCAGAATGAGAACCAAAACGGGACAGCTTGTCTGTAGACAGGAGAAGCAGGGCTCCAGCTCCCAGTCCTGGGATGCTCTTGGCCTTGCCTTGTCTTTGCTGGCCTTGCCTTGAAGCTGGCAGCAAGTAGGTGGCCCCAACACCAGATGCCCCAAGTAGAGAAAGGAGGGAGCCCGTGACTCCCTGTCATTTTCTCTAGGAAGAGAGAAGGCCTGTGCCCGAACCACTCATTGGCAAGGGGAATGGGATATGGGCTGCATGATTGTGAGCCCACCCCTAAATTCCTATGTCCAAGCCCCAACCCCAGTGAGATGGTTTTAGGAAGTGGGGCCTTTGGGAAGTAATCAGTTTCAGATGAAGTCATGAGACCTGCATGATGGGATTATAAAAGAAGACAGACTCTCTCCCTACAAACATGTACTGAGGAAAGGCCATATAAGAACATAGCAAGAAGACAGCTGTCCAACAAAGCAGGAAAGAGCCCTTACCAAGAACTGACTCTGACTTGAATGTGGACTTCCCAGTCTCTGGAACTGTGAGAAATATATCTCTGTTGTTTAAGCCACCTAGTCCATGGTATTTTGTTATAGCAGCCTGAACAGACTGAGACAAAGGGCTTCCCAGGACTGTCTTAGGCCATCCAGGGCCACTTGTAGAAAAGACTGATCCTGGGTCTGGGGCAGGGAGAGCACAGGGGGAGCCTAGAACATCTCAGGGTCCAAAAGTGAAAGTGAAGTCACTCAATCGTGTCCGACTCTTTGCGACCCCATGGACTATAGCCTACCAGGCTCCTCCATCCATGGGATTTTCCAGGCAAGAGTACTGGAGTGAGGTGCCATTGCCTTCTCCAGGGGATCTTCCTGTTCCAGGGATCGAGCCTGGTTTCTCCCACACTGTAGGCAGACGCTTTTATGATCTGAGCCACCAGGGAAGTCTCAGGGTCCAAGGAAACTGTCAAAAATGAGTCATGTCAACAGGCGCAAGCTTGACCCACTGGCTAAAGATGGGACAATTTAAAAAGATAAGGCCTGACTCCCCTCCTGGCTTCTGGAGAAATGGAACAGATGGGCTTTTCTCTGTTCCTCCTCCTAAGTGCAGCTAGAAACCTTGGACATTTTTTGTAAAACAAGCATGAGACTACAAAAGGTGATGAGATGGCAGACTGGCTAGGATCCTCAAGACCTGAAGAACAATACAGCAAAAAATTCCTTAGATTTTCTTTTTGTTTCATGTATCCCAAGCTGAGTGATGGAGAAGCCTACCGCCTAGAAACACCAACACGCAAAGGAAGCCCCGACAAAAGCCTGCTTTCTCTAAGCAGTGGACGAGGAAAAGGACAGTCCAGCAGCACAGAAAAGTTAGAGACAGTAAGGGCTGTCCTCCAGCCACACCCTGCAGAACCGCAGTCCCCCTTCTACCCCTGCCTACAAAGGCTGAGTGGGAGCTTAGACCCTACCCCAGCTCACAGGAGGTGGCATAGCCCTTCCCCAACTAGCCCCATGTCAGAGAAGGCTTAAATATGATCCAGTCTCATAATACCCAAAATATTTAGAATTCAATTTTTAAAAATCATTGTACCAAGAACTGACAAAATTTCAACTCAAATGAAAAAAGTCAAATGCCAACACTAGAATGTCTCAGATGTTACAAGTCTATGTTACGGATTTTAAAGGAGCCATCCTAGAAATGCCTCAAGTCTCAGCAGAGAAATAGAAGATATAAAGAACAAGATAAACATTTTAGAACCAAAAACTACAACAGCCCAAGTAAAAATCTCAATGGGTGAACTTAACAACAGAAGAAAGAATCAGTGGATTTGAAGATAAACCAATAGAAATTATCGAGTCTAAACAACAGAGGGAAGATAACTTGGACAACAACAAGAACAAAAAAATAAATAAAATAGAGCCTCGAGGACCTGTAGGACTGTTAATAAAAGATCTAGTACGTGTGGTGTCAGAGTCCCAGAAGGTACGGAGAAAGAGGGTAGAACAGAGAAATACTCAAAGAAATAATGACCAAAACTTTTCCAGAATATGGCAAAGGACACAAATGTAGAGAGTCAAGAAGCTGAATGAACTTCACAGAGGTTGAATCTAAAGAAATTTATGTCAAGACACATCATAATCAAACTTCTGAGAACTAAAGAAAAGAAAAAAATCCTGAAAGCAGCAAGACAGAGATGACACCTTACATATAGGTGGAAAACAATTCGAATGACTGAATATCTCATCAGAAACCACAGAGGTCAAAGACAACAAACACAACACGTTTCAGACCCTGAAAGAAGTGTCAACCCAGAATTCTATATGCAGAGAAAGTCACCTCAAGAGTAAAGGACAAGGGACTTCCCTGGGGGTCCAGTGGCTAAGACTCCACACTCCCAATGCAGGGGGCCCGAGTTCCATCTCTGGTCAGGAAACTAGACCCCACGTGCTACAACTAAGAGTTCACATGATACAACTAAAGATCCCACATGGGGACTTCCCTGGTGGTCCAGCAGTTGAGAGTCCACCTGCCAATGCAGGGGACATGGGTTCGATTCCAGGTCCAGGAAGTTCCCACATGTTGCGGGAAAATTGGGCCTGCGTGTCACAATTACTATGTCCGCAAGTTGCAACTACTGAAGTCCACCATCTAGATCCCGTGCTCCACAACAAGAGAAGCCATTGCAATGAGAAGCCTTCACACTGTAAAAAGAAAGCCCATGCAGCAATGAAGACCCAGCACAGCCAAAAAGAAATAATAAAAATTAAAGATCCTACATGCCACAGCTAAAGATCCCACATGGGACAACTAAAGATCCTCCGTGCTGCAAGTAAGACCTAGCACAGCCAAAAAAAAAAAAAAAATACATATTTTTTTAAGAGTAAAGGGCAAGTAAAAGAATGAAATTAGAACATTTCTCATACCATAAAAAAATAAAAATGGATTAAAGACCTAAATGTAAGACCAGATATGATAAAACTTGAAGAAAACATAGGCAGAATACTCTGACATAAATTGTAGCAATTTTGGGGGAGGGATTTTTTTCTTCCTAAGGCAAAGGAAACAAAAGCAAAAATAAACAAATGGCATGTAATTAAACTTAAGAGTTTTGGCACAGCAAAGGAAACTACTGACAAAAAAGTGTACAGAATGGGAGAAAATAATTGTAAATGATATGACTGGTAAGGGATTAATATCCAAAATATATAAATAGCCCACAGAACTCAATATCAAAAAAGGAAACAACCCGATTGAAAAATGGGCAGAAAACTTGAATAATCATTTTTCCAAAGAAGACATAGGAATGGCCAACTGGCAATGAAAAGATGCTCAGCATTGCTAATTATTAAAGAAATGCAAATCACAACCGCAATGAGATATCACCTCCCACCTGTCGGAATGGCTAGCACCAAAAAGACTACAAATAACAAATGTTGGCAAGGATGTGGAGAAAAGGGAACCCTTGTTCATTGTTGGTGGGAATATAAATTGGTACAGCCACTGTGGAAGCTATATTGACTTTCTGCAAAAAAAAAAAAATAGCAATAGAACTATCATATAATCCAGCAATCCGACTTCTGTGTATTTATCTGCAGGAAATAAAGACACTAATTCAAAGAGATACACACACTCCAATGTTCATAATATATTATACATATCACTCATCCATAAAAAATAATGAAATTTTGCTTTTTACAAAAATATAGATGGACCTAGGAGAGTATTATGCTTAGTAAAATAAATCAGAGAAAGACAAAATCGTGTATGATATCATTTACATGTAGAATCCAAGAAATGAATGAATAGAAGTAAACAAACAGATCCATAGATATAGAGAATAAACTAATAGTTACCATTGGGAAGACAGAAGAGGGGAGGAATAAGACAGGAGTAGGGGATTAAGAGGTACAAACCTCTTTATTTTATGTGTAAAATAAATAAGCTTCAGGGACACATGTACAGCACAGGGTATATAGTCAATATCTTATAATAACTTTAAGTGGAATATAACTATAAAAATATTGAATCACTATGTTGCACACCTGAAACTAATATAATATAAATTAACTATATTTCAATTTTTAAAAATGACAAAATTGTAAGACATTTTAAAGAGTAAAGGGGACATCAAGACATTTTCAGATGAGGAATACCTAATAAAATTGTCACTAGCAATTCTAATATAAAAATAAAAAGGCTAAAAGGAAGCCATAAATAAAAAGACAAGAGAAAATATTTGCAAATGATGTGACCAAAAGGGATGAATATCCAAAATACATAAACAACTCATGCAGCTCAATAGCAAATAAATCAAAAAATGGGCAAAAGATCTAAACAGACATTTTCCCAAAGACATACAGATGGCCAAAAACCACATGGAAAGCTATGCTCAACATTGCTAATTATTAGAGAAATGCAAATCAAAACTACAATGAGGTAGTCAGAATGGCCACCAACAAAAAGTCTACAAACAATAAATGCTGGAGAGGGTGTGGACAAAAAGGAATCCTCATGTACTGTTGGCAGGGAAGTAAATTCGTACAAACACTATGGAGAACAGCATGGAATTTCTTTTTAAAATTAAAAACAGAGCTACAATATGATCCAGTAGTCCCATTCCTGGGTATATATCTGGAAGGAAGCATGATTTGAAAACATACATGCACT